TACGTAGTTATAAGAGGCAGCAGGAATCCACTCGGTGAGACACAGGGTAGCATAGGAACTGGCACGGAGGCATCCAGCAGCATGGCACACAACACGAGACAGGCAGCAGACGGGTCAAGTGGCCAGAGGACAGGCAAAGGGCAGGAGGGGCAAGTGGTGGAGGCATGTTGTGTGGGGGTCAGGTGGTGGAGGAGCAGGCACTGACGTGGGAGGTCAAGCTCTGTGGGAAACAAGTGATGGGAAGTGGAGCCAGGCTGTCTGCCACTCCCTGTCACTTGCACCCCTGCTTCTGCTTTCCTTGCTGCAGCAGTGAGGGCGATGAATTTAAGATGACCCTCCAATCATTAGATTCTACTAATGTATAATTTTCCATGTATAGAATATAACGATTGGGGGGTTGTCTTAAATTTGACAGCTTGAATTTGAGTAAATACCATATATACATTATTATATCTAAAAAGAAAAAATATGTATATTCGCAGTATTCCCAACTTGCCTGGAATCAGAAGGTACTAAAATCCCACAGTTCCAGTCTGGTTTTGCAAACTCAAGAGCTTCAGTTAGATAAGCCTCTGAAGTAGTACTTGCTACTTGTGTGCCTATCCAAACAGAACCTGCTTCCAAACCCTATGAGCTCTGGCCATTACTAGCTACTGTGACGCACACAGTCATTCCCTAAAACAGGTTGCAATCAAATAGTAGGTCATGGTTGAAGGGCACTCAGTGGGCAGCAACTCTTCAAAATATCTGAAGTATTTTACAGACTCTGCAGCATACTGTCTCCAAAAGCTATGACAACGTTTGCTCCATCCATCAATGAGCAGTTGTTAGTCATCAATGGGAAACTGCGCTCATGCATGCAATGGGGAATATTTCCTATAGCACTTGCACAATTCTGGCACGCAAGCAAATGAAATGACCATCTGAATTTGTTGGAATAAGATATTACAGTAGCAAAGAAAAGGATGGATTATGATTATAAGCCCTCTGGCACATTTCAGACAATACAAAAAGTTGGGACAAACAGATGTTGCAAATCTTAAAGTAATAATGAAATCAGGACCTATTATAGTAGAAAATAAAGACATATTTTTGTTGTTGTTGTTTCAACATATCCTTCTTTAATAATAATAAAGGTGGCACAATAACAGAAATTGGATCTTATACCCTAAAGTCAATACTAATACGCATATGATAGCAAGAAAAGGAAGGATCATAAAAGAAGGATATTTTCAATAACATTAGAAAATTAATCCTACCTTTAACCGTGCTTGTGGAGAAGTTGTTTCCGTATTCCTGCTGCTTTGGCTTTAAAGACTGTGGTGCTGGCAGCCCTGGAGTCTGTGGGACTTGGAATAAAGGCTTCCCATTTGTAACCACTTGTCTCCTGGGACTTAAAGCAGGGAGGTGGATGGTACCATCAGTGATGTTGCTCTGAGGAGCGACCCCTCCTCCCAGGGGCATCTTTAAATGTAGGCTGGAAGACAAGTTTCCAATAGCTGGGCTTGGGGTGCTGCTATTCGAAGATGGACAGGGTGTTCCTGTTTGAACTCTGATCGGTGGAATCTGCTGTCCATTGATCATCCCAGGTCCATGGGGAGTACCTGATGTGTGGTGGCTCATACTGCATGACCTCCCATTCATTGTCAAGCAGTTGCTAAGTTCAGAATGTGTTTTCCAAATCTACCAATATCAATGTCATCAGCCCAAGGTCAGTAAGTAATCCATAGTGCACTAAGTCTGTTAAAAAACAAATTTTTAAAGTTAATTATATTGTATTAAATAACACATAAGGACAAGACTGTGCACAGTATTTTTCTACATGAAAAAATTATTGATTGTGAGCAGCAAAGTATGAATAATAGGGCAAATAAAGAAGGCAAAGCTAGATACTGACTTAGAATCAATAAGGAGAAAACCTAGCCCTTCAAGAGCAGAAGTTTACAATAAGGTCAGCTGCATTCACATCATCTAAACCAGCCATGAAATGGAGTAAATGTTGAGGAAGGGAAGAAAAGCAGCCTGGAATAAAAAAGCAGCCACTAGGCTTGGATAGGTGTCAGTTTCTCCATGGAGAGTCCCCGCTTTCTCTGGAGAAGCAATGAGTGTACAGATCTTGGTATTTTTTAGCCCAGAATGGCCACTTTGAGAGAAAAATAACTCAGGAACAATCCAAGTGAAGTGCCTCCCTGAAGTCTCTCTCTCCGCAGACAGAATTCTGCACGGACAACAGAGGCAGAGCTGACCTCCGCAATCCCAGCGTGCTTTGCTTCTTTTCTCCCCACTCCCACAGCAGGAGGGAGAGTTGTGTCAGTCACAGCCAAGTAGTGAGCAGAACATAATCCATGAGTGGTTCAGGCTGGAAAAAGCCAGTGCTGAAGCACTTCAGGGGTGTTTTCTGTTCCTGGCTTGTTCCCTGCCTAAATCACAATGTAGCATTTGGGTGCGGGGGAGCACACAAGCATATGCCCTACCCAGCCTTAGCTGGGCTCCAACACAGGATGGGAGAGGGGAAAGGCTGGAGGACTCTTCTGTGCATGGCACAGACCCTTGCCAATCCCTGCCTCCCTTCACTTAAAAAAAAGAAAAAGAAAAGAAAAGCCTGCAGTGCTCTCTAGGTTGCGTGCTCTAGGGATCCCTAACAGGCCACGCTGTCTGTACCACAGGGTCTTTGCTTCTCTGTCTGAACTTCTGTACAGGTCAGGTTTTTAGTCAAGAAAACAAACCTGGAAAGGTTGTCCTGGATGATTTGAATATGCATATGCAGCCACTGACTGAAAATTGCCACCAAGATGAACTAGACTATTCATTAACGATATGGTGAAAAACAGAGCACCCAGATATGAAAAAATGCCAGTTCATGTTCTGAGGTTGATAAAAATAACAAAATAAGATGGGGGGGTGGTAGGGAGGGGAAGGGGCAGAACTCTAGCAGACTCTTCGAGATTCCACTATGAAAAACACAGTAGAGCAATGCTCCTAGAAGAAATTTCAGTAATTGAAATCCATTATGTAAATTTACACATATAGCCATTCTAAATGATAATAAATTATAAGGCCATATTTTCAAGACTGCCTTTAAATTGTGCCCATAATTTTGGTAGCATTTAAGTCAGGGGTTGGCAAAATGGGAGATCTGGCCAGCGGCTGGACTCCATTTCCCAGCAGCCCCTGCCAACAACGCTGAAGCTGGTTTCCATGAAGACCCCTGCAGCAACAGGGCCACAAGGCCAGGGTTCCCATGGAGACTGGCCCCAGTGGCACCAGCAGGGCACACAACTGGGCAGGGAGCTGCTCCAGAGCTAGGGCTGGGATCTTGCAGTGGTGACAGTGTGGGGCACAGCCAGGGCAGAGCCATAAGCCGCTGCCTGCACACCCCTGCCTGAGGTGTGTGAGCAACAGATCACAGTTCTGACCCGGATCCAGACCATTCTGTCACCACTGCAAGATCCTGGCACCAGAGCAGCTTCCCACCCATCCTCGCATCCTGCCTCCATGGAAACCCTGGCCCTATGCTGTCACTGCCGTGCCGCTGCTGGGGTCTCCATGGAAACTGGCCACAGCAACATGGGCAGGAGCTGCTGGGAAAAGGACTCTGATGCAGGACTTTGCCCACTCCTGGTTTAAGTGATGCCATTGCCAGGATGGTCCAGATTGCCTATCCCAATCATGTAGTTGGTCCAATACAAGATAACACCAACAAGAATTCTGCAACTCATAGTCTTTACCAGAGGGTTTTTTCACTTAAATTTTCATGTCATGTTTACTCATTTATATACATCCACAGAGTGGTAGAGAGAAGCTGCATTTGTGAGTATAAATTATAGATGGTTACGATATCAAACAAATGGCATAATCTAGGCCCCAAGTCAGCAAAGCACTAAAATGCATACTTGATTTTAATCAACAGATTCATTCATGTGGTTAAAACTAACCACATTTAAGCATTTTGTTGATTTAGGAACCGGAGGCCTAATTGTCCTGTTTGCACAAACAAGTGAAGTTTGTATACAAATCTGATGTTTAATGTACAGATGTATTTATATTCATATATTCACCCAGGGCTCTATCTTAAGAATTTTGACCATGAACCAAGGAAACATTTAACTCTGTGTGTAATCAAATGGAAACTAACATGAATCAGGGCCAAAGGGTTCATGAGAGAAGTCCAGGGGCCTACTTCCATGCTTAATGTGATCCTGCAGTGCCCTACAATGTTTAAACACTCCACCCATGATCTAAGAAAAAATAGCTAAACATCATGCACTCAACTGTTGTAGAAAATTTTGTTCATAGTGTTCAGCCTTGTTAGGATCAAGGTGGTATAAGTGGTATTTACACACATATATATGCATGTCCATACTCACTCCTATATGTGTGTGAATACGTGTGTATATGTGTGTATTTATATATACATACACAGACACAATTTATATATACACATATTATTTATATGCATGTATGTATGTGTGTGTATATACATGCATGTACATGTATCCGTGCATATGTGTATATATACACACAGATATGCATACATACCACTATTTATATTTAATAATGATTATATTTATATGTTTTATTACACGTTATATGTAATTTAATCATGAAGAGCTTCATCCTATTTACATTCAAAGACAATAGCAAAAATTCTTTTGACTTCAGTGAGAACAATAGGCACTAATTCCACTTCAGTATTATTCTAAATATTTATTTTTCATTGTTAATTTTTTATATTACAAGAATATAATTAGAAAATATGCTGATTAAAAGCAATATCATTATTTTCATGCATGGCTGCAGTATAAATCACAATTTACAATTCAACCAAGGACAGAGCTAAATGTTCTTAGATTCCCAGGGTTTGTTTTAGCAAGCAGAGTGTACCTTGCCTTAACACAGGTGACTGGCTCTTTAGAAAAGAACATATAAACACAAGTAATCATTCTACTGGCAAGGCTGTACACTACAGCATTATAAATCAGCAGCAAATCAAAATCATTCTTGTCTTTAATTTTTAACTACATTAGAAAAGTGCAAACATAATAAAGAAAAGATTATATGTGACAAGTTTATTAGTTTGTTCAATAACATTGGATTTAGATTAATTGACAGAATAATATTTCTACACCCTGTATAGATCTACTGGGTCCTATCAAATCCAGAACCATATGCAACTCATGTTTTTAAATTCTATGGATTCCTTGTTATTTCTGTAAAACTATATGCTCTAAAAAAGAACAATTGTATTTTTATCATACTGCCTCATAAGCTACTATTGTTTTTATACTGAAGATATTTTACTGTACTAGATTATATTTCACTGACTGCCAAGTTAAAAGTTGAACTCACCAATTTTAGTTGTACTTAGCGATACGTTTTCTCCTTTTCTTATATATTCATATGAGCTACATTTTAAACTGCAGCAACAGGACAATTGTCTCTATATTCTCTATGATGAAGGCAGATGCAAAAAATGATTTAACTTTTCTGCAGTCTCTTCCTTAGGTTCCTCCTCCTCTGTCTGTAGCAGGTACTTACAACACCACTTTATCACAGTATCTGAGCATCTCACAGTCAGTAACATATTGACCCTCACCAAACCTCTACAAGGTTGAAAAGTGCTTTGTTATCCCAGTTTTACAGATGGGTAACTGAGGCACAGAGAGACAAAGTCCAGCTCTGTGAAGATACTTAGGTACCTAACTTCTAGTCATATTTCTTTCAATTGGGGTAAGATGCCTGAATACATTTTTCAGTTTGGACATAATGGACGTGCCCAAAATCAGCCAGAAAGTATGTACCATGATAAAAAAAACTGAAGTGGTAAGCCCTGAATTCAGGGTTAGTACCCAAACCACTAAACTGTACTTTTTCCCCTTTCATTTCTGAAGAGCCTAGCAGGCCCACTGATTCTCCTCTAAGGTTCTACTTCTGTCTATGGCTATTTGCTCTTAAAGTTCCCTTTTAACCTCCTAGCTGCCACCTTACATTTTACCTGACCTAGTACAATGTTCTTTTCTATTGGCTTCATTAGGGTTGGATTTCCATTTTCTGCAGCCTACCTCTTTGGTTTGAGTAGCTTTCTGAAATTAAGCCATTCATCCATAACATTTTTTTAAGTTTTCCTCCCTTCTTTTCTGATGTGAGGTTATGCCACTGTTTGGAAAATTTTTATGCATCTCCCATGGTACATCAGTGAATTTTAAATCTCTTTACGTTAGAATATTTTTAACTACCTCCCTTCATCTCCACCTTAATTATTTTGTGGTCATTATTATTCAGTCACTCAACCAAACTTAAGTCTTGAACCAAATCATGTGTGTCACTGGAGAAGAACATCTCCTGTTGTGCACTCTTGAACCAGTTGTTCCAAAAATATTTATACAGCTGAGAAATTGCTTCTCTAGACCTTACCTTATTGCTAACATTTGACCAGTTTATGTCTGAATAGTTGAAGTCACTGATTAATAGTAATTTCAACGGTGATTTTAATAGCTAGTCTACATACTAAATGGAATCAAAATATCTATATGAGTTGATACTTAAACCCTTTATGATTTTAGTTTAGGTTTGTGTGTAGTCACTGTTATTTTAGAATGTGTGCCTTTTTATCATTTTAGTTAAACTGGTAAAGAATGAACTAAATTATAATAATATAAAGATGTTCCTAGACTGAAACAAGGAAGTACACACTGAGTGCATCTACATGTGCAATTAATGCAAAGCAATAAACTCCAAAG